CTTTTTGTCAAAAAGGCCAAAGAAGTTTTCCAGGAGCCTTGATGCTCCGGGGTCTTATCTCTCCAGGAGCTTGCCTTTTGTCTTCAGCCAAAGGAATTTCAAGCCTAGGAGCAGCTCAGCTTGTACTTTGCCCAGGCCAGGTAGCCAATTTAGAGCTAAGGCAAGCCAGTTACAAACGGATGTTGCTACAATATTTTTTGATATTATGATTATACAAAAAAGGGAGGTCATAACATAAGTTAGCAGTGGAAATTCTGATTTTTCAGAGCTTTTCCCGAGCTACCCGGAATCTGTCAGACGATGGCCGTTGCATAGCTTGTGTCACCATAGCCCTGCCCCGCAACCATGGTTCCACGCTGATCACCACTGAGCAGTCTGGGTTCAAAGTCAGAGCAGTCAACATCCCCCGCGAGTTCCAGGTCAAGCGTGGTGAGTTGTACCCCTTTCACAGGGCCATCAAGTATCCTGTCCTTGCTTATGCTAGAGGGCCCAGTATATTACCTTCCTGGAGCCCACGTAACTGACTGACCGGGCCAGTCTGACCTAGTCTCAGAGGGTAGAGCTGCATGAAACCCAAATGGTGGCCAACTTAGCCGTTTTGCTCTAGCAGGCACACAGCAAGGTTGTAATTTTAAATTCACCAGGTTTTGCTTTTTTCTGTTTGTTGCAGTCACAATCGATTTGGGGACAGATGATTAGACTGCTGTCTTTAGCTAATCATTCAAATGTTCAGCAGGAGTTATTGATGTATTTCCCAGTGATAAAATAGCATCTTTATTGTACTTAACTTTTATATTGAACTGAGAACAGATATTGTCCTTCCTATTCTCTTTCTACTGAAAGTGTAACTTGTTTCAAGTTGAGGGAAATAAATTTATATAAATTTATGACAAAGTTAAACAGCAAAATTTAGTGTTAAAAGTATTTCATGGCCTTAGAGATTCAAATGAAACGGAATTATGCAGGGGAAGAAAAGGAATTTCTCATCTACCCTTTGAGTTCTTGACTGATAACCCTGTAATAAAACACAGATTAGTAGACTAATGTCAAGTTTAATAGCATGTACAGCTCCTGCATACATGGGCGATACTTGAGAAAGCTGAGTCGCTCTCCGAAATGGGCACCCTAAATACTGTCTTCAGTTAAGAACAAAAGATGTGTGTGGGGAGGGGAGGGAGGTGGAGGGACCCAGTGAAGGGAAGTCATCAGGCCAAGTGAAGAACAAGTGTCGTTATGGAGACTATGTGGATGTGGCTTCTGAAGTCAGTGGGCACAGTGAGGTTACACACCCGCGCGCAGCCTAAGTGAAGGACTGGGACAGGGCTGGGATTTCAAGAAGAGGAAGGGTTGTCATGTGATGACGAGCAGGTATCTGCCAGTTCTTTGCGCAGCATTTAGAAGGGCTATTCAGAGAGGCAGGGTATTTCTGTTAATGACCTTAAAATAGTGGTAAACCCCCAAGTTACAATCTTTAGAGAGCGGCAAAAGTTTCTGCTGAACCTTGTTGCAGTGCGCAACACCACAATTATAGACAGGTGCCGTGGCGCAGGTGCTTCTGTAGAAGCTCCTGGCCTTTTTATTGCTAAAACAGTCCCACAGCATCTGTTGTAAGGGGGAGGAAAAAGAGGGGAAGACGTAGCTAGAAAATGCACTGTCATCTGTAGTCAGGGTATGAGTCTGCGCTCCAGGCACCTCTCTTCTGCTTGCTGACTCGGTGCTGTAATGGAGAGCCACCCTGGATCCCAGCCAGGGTTTCAGTCTTGTCAACAAGTATTCCCCCGATCAGCCTCTGGGTCCCTTGTCATACATCGTCAGTCCTCAGCTCTCCACCCCGGGTGTTCGCAGCCATACCTCCTGATATGAGTCAGGAGTAAGTTTACGCATCCATCATCACGCATCCGTCATCAGCCCTCCGCATTCCTGGTCATACCTCTTGATGCCGAATCACCCCAGAGTGATCAACGTTTAAGCTCTTGATTGAGTTGAAAGGCAACAAGTTTAGGCTCCTATGACCGGTTTCTGAAGGGCAGTTCTGACCCTGTATAGAATACAGAACTGCAGGTAACAAAATGATGACCCAACAGGCCGCTTAGTATTAGCAGACCCACGGCACTAGCCTCCATTTCAAAATGGCACATCTGATGAAGGCCTGTGTGTTCGGGAGAGGCCCGTGCTTTGCTACCCAGAAAGGCAAAGCAAGGAAAACAAGGCAGAACACACTGTTATCTAAGCAAAAACTACATTTGTCAAGGAAATTTACTTTCAAAGGGAATCTGTACCAGATGGTACAGATTTCCACACATAACTTTTAGGCCTGAGAGACTACAGAACTTTGCCAGCCTGGCTTACTCTCACCTTCCTGTGGATTGCCACCCTCCCTTTGCAGTTCCTCCCTCCCAATCTCCTTAAGCCATTCCTTTTCTCTTCTCCTACTAATCTGTTATGGGCGTGTTACGGGCAAAGATGGGGGAACCCCAGAACCCCCAAACCTGCCTGCTGTAAATAGGTGCTGCCATTGCCACATCAAGACAAAACATACTCTAGTGCATAAGCCCTTTCATGGGAAGGAACTTTAATACAACTAGTGTGCCCTAAAGAGAAGGTAAAGAATATCACTTCCAAACCAAGTACCTCGTCCCCTCGTAAAAGTCCACCCAACAGGACTGGCCCAAAGCAAGGCCTGCAAACCTCCCCAAGTCTAAGGCACCTTGTGGTGGGGACCCATTGAAAAGTGTCGGAAACAGTCAGACAAGTCTGGCACAAAAAAACAGCACACCCAAGATAAACGCTGCCACTTTAACGTCGCACGGGTCTCTCCCCACGTCTGTGCCACCCAGGGCAGGACCAAGCAGCAAGCAGAGCTGCTGCACCTGTCTCTCGGCTGCACGTGCCCTCGCCAGCTCTCCTGGTCTCCTCACCTTCTCTGGTCTCCTCTCCCACATCCCTCCTCCCTGCTCAGCTCCACCCTCCCCTTAACAGTTTCAGTGCAGCGACTTCACCACTGAAGACATTACACTCCCTAAGATGCAACCTGGCACCGCGGCCTTGGTGCTTTTGGCTTACGATTTTCCCTCATGCTGTATATTAGCACCTGCTAATAAACGCTTTCTCTTGTTGTTTTGGTTTGGAGTCTCAGCTGGATATACAGGGTAAGGAAAATACTGCCTCTCTTAATATGGACATTGAGTTTTACAAGAGCATGGGGAATCGTTGCCTGTGAATACAGAAAAGCAGATGGAGGACAGGAAAAAATTTAAGTAAGACTTAGCTCAGGATATTGCATGAAAATTTTACTTTCGGGACCTCCCCAGTGGCCAGTGGGTTAGGATACTGCTCTGCAAGCTCCCCTGCAGCCGCTTGAAGTTTGATCCCGACCCCAGCTGACCTACATGGCCAAACATCTCCTGGTCCACCTGCTGCTCCCCTCAGCAGTGTACTTCATCGATCTGCCTGTTCTGCTCCCCGCTCTGACTCTGGTGAATCCTCTCACTGCCCCTGCGCCTCTGGCCTGTACCCCAGCTCTGTATGCATAAATAAATAAGTCATACAAAAGAAAATTTTACTTTCATCTCTTTTGAAAAAAGTTTAGGTTTAGCACCCAGAGAATTAATTAGTACCATTCTTTTAAAGATGTCAATCCTAGTGCCCTATTACTGCAATGCAATTAAGATCAGAATCCTGACAAGGCTTCATTCATTTCTCTTAACTTGAAACTGTCTAGAACACTTTTCAGTGGAAACAGAGTAGAAATGACAATAATTGTTCCCAGTTGAGTAAAAGTTAACTATATTAAAGGTGGTGTTTTATCTCTGGTAAAATATAATAATAAAATATAAAAATATTAACATTTTATAAATATAATAAAATACAATTTTATCACTGATAAGATATAATACCTCTTGCAGAACAGGTGATTAATCAGCTATCCCCAAATCAATTGTGACTATAATAGAACAAAGCAAAACCTGGTAAATTTACCTTACATACCTTAAGTTGGCCACCATTTGAGATTCGTGCAGTTCTGCCCTTCAAGACTAGGTCAGATCGGCCTGGTCAGTCAGTTATGTGCCTACAACATAATCTACTGGACTCTCTAGTCCAGCATAAGCAAAAGCAGGGTACTTGATGGCTCTGGGAAAATGGGTACACATCGCCAGGCTTGCTTTGGAACTCCCGGGGGAACATTGGCTGCTGTGACTTTGACCCCAGAGACTGCTCAGTGGGACGCCTTGGTGATCAGCATGGGATATGGTGAGGGGCAGGAGTATGGGTTCAATGACAACATCAGGTCATCAGGCAGATAAAAAGTACCTGGTCAGCAGACTCATATCCCTGAAGCCCCAGATGAGACAAGCACACTTTCAGTTTCTCACCCTTTTCCTCCTATCCTAAGTAATAACACAAGTTGTTTTCTGTTTTGAAATAAACACGGTGCAGTTCTCATGCAGGTTTATGATGTTCCTCATCTCCACGCATAAGCCTCAGGGGAGTCGGCCTGCCCCTCCCGCACGCCAGGCAGACACCCCTGGGAACAGCCCACCTTCAGGATGGGGCGTCCCCTCGAGGGCAAGGCGCGGCCGCCGGCCAGCTCCTCCCGGGTCCTCCTCTTCCCAGAACGGGTCAGCTCCCCATAGTCCACAGCAGAGACGCGAGCGCGGGGCGTCTGGGGGCGCCTGGCACACCTGCTCCCCTTCAGTAGACAAGTCGGCACAACACGCCCGCCGAGGGAACAGGCGAACGTTGGCGCCACCGAAAAATCAAAATCCGGCCGTTCAGGGTTTGGTTCCCCAACGTGCGTCCCCGTGCGCGCCCGCGGGGACTGTCGGGAACGCGCAGCCCGCGGCCCCTTCCTTTCCGGGAGGCGACGCCGCCGCGCCGCGCCGCGCCCCCTCCGCGCGGCCTTCCCGCCTCCTTCCTGCCGGTTCTCAACGCGGTCCGCCAGCGCACTATAAAGAGCGGCGCGTGGCGCGCGGCAAGCGGCAGTGTGAGCAGGCCGGGCGGCGTGAGCATGTCTGGTCGCGGCAAGGGCGGGAAGGGCCTGGGCAAGGGCGGCGCCAAGCGCCACCGCAAGGTGCTGCGCGACAACATCCAGGGCATCACCAAGCCCGCCATCCGCCGCCTGGCGCGGCGCGGCGGCGTCAAGCGCATCTCGGGGCTCATCTACGAGGAGACGCGCGGGGTGCTCAAGGTCTTCCTGGAGAACGTGATCCGCGACGCCGTCACCTACACGGAGCACGCCAAGCGCAAGACCGTCACGGCCATGGACGTGGTGTACGCGCTCAAGCGCCAGGGCCGCACGCTCTACGGCTTCGGCGGCTAGGCCGTCCTAGGACGTTTTTGCCTCCTAAGAACAAAAGGCCCTTTTCAGGGCCCCCACTATTTCACTTGAAGGGCTGTGACTCTGTTTGGGTTTCGCCTACTTTAATGTTAGTCCTTGCATAGTAATACCTTCAGGGCTATATGTTTTCGGGGCATTGTTAGCGCAATTGCAACAGTAATCCCCCATTGAAGGAGGCTTCTAGGTTTCCTGTCCAAACTAGTGAAGGGTGGAGCAGACTTGAAAGAGGAGAAATGACTGCAAACTCGTGGCTTAGGGACCAGGTCAAGGTAAACCTTGAGCTGCCCTGAGACCCTTGTGCCTGCTGCTCCCCTCAGCTTGGGGAGTAGAGGGGGGTTGCTTATTTTAGCAGATGTGCCTATTCATGCCACTAGGTTTCTGGTGAATCCTTGCGTCTCTGGCTCATGGCCTAGTTCTACACAAAAATATGTCAAGCTTGACCACAGTCGTGAGGAAACCACTTGGTTCTCCAATTTGGACTTGTACATTAAACTAGAGGGATATGAAAGAAGGCTCTTGGTAGGAGACGGGGAGAACGGCAGAGGAGACAAATTGGGGTTTAGTGTGAAAACCTTGATTTATGCAGGCAGTACAGTAGAAGGTGGCGGTGCTCACGTATGTAAAAAGTGAAGCTGTGACTGGTATGCAAATTGTGTATCATTGAAAACAGCTTTCTTGACTCACCAAAATTAGCCTTTGGAAAGTCTAATGATAAATAGGCATCCAGCCACCTCAAAAGTCTCAGGAAGGCTCTAGAACAATCTCTGAGCGTTCGATACCCGCCTGCCCTTGAGGAGATCCACATGGTGCAGCAGACCTCTCCTGACCTGCCCACTGCTCCCCTCAGCAGTGTACTTCGTCACTCGGCCTGTTCTGCTCCCCACTCTGTCTCCGGTGAAGCCTCTCACC